GCTGGCACGTTAGGGTACTACGCTGTACCAAAGATGAAGGTGCAGCCCTGCAATTGCTTGTTCAGAACATTGCTGGTAGAAGGGCCTCCCACTAGACGGAGCTCTAGAGGGCCTCATTAGAGGGTATCTTTGTCCACTTTTCCAAACTGGCCAGACATCTTGGAAGAGGCTGGAGTGTTCTAACTGCCACGTTGGGAGACCGAACCAGCGTCTTCTAGAAGTTGTGTCCTAACCATGACGCCACAGCAGCATCCTTACTAGGCTCTGGACTGCACCATATGGTAGGAATGAAGTTTAACACTTAGGCTTTCGCGACCAAGATCATCCATTCATAATAAAGGTTTTTGGGTTAGATCGCGTTATTTCTATATGTGTCGTAACCCTCCACCACCCGATACGGCCAATCAGCAAAAAAGTGTCACGTAATTACATCCAGCACCATCGGACAATTCGCCCGATGATGCGGGATGTAATTACCAGCGAAACGTCGTACTCAAACTGTAAATGTTGTGGATTCACTCTTCAACACACCGGTGGGCTAAAGTAGTGAACTATTTGTCTTTTGTCAACGTGTCGGGTGGTGGAGGGTTACGACACATTTTTAAATAACGCGATCTAACCCAAAAACCTTTATTATGAATAATAATGGTCGTGAAAGCCTACGTGTTAAACTGAATATCATCCACAATACAGGTTTTTTTTGGATTAGATCACATAAATATCTCGTTAAACCCGTCACCACCCGACACAGCAATTTAGTAAGGTTTGTCACATAAACAGAACATACCAATTCGTTACTAGTACAGCACACCGGTGTGTTGGAGAGCAAATCCACAACATTTACATTTATTAATGGCGAAACGTCGAAAAGTTTATGGATATTTACGCGATGTAACCCCAAAAAAATGTATTATGGTAGAAAGAAGTTCAACATACAACAATTAAGTGACATTGTGCAAAAGCGATCATTCCCGTTGGCCAATAACACAATTGTGCAGTTTCACATTTCTGCATTCAAGGCAGAACTTGACACTGGAGTCCTATAACTGGAAAAGTGAGCAAGAATTCGAGCGGTAATGCAATGTGTGTGTGTGTGACCAATGGGCGATGCAGGGGCAGGAAACGTATGATCACCGTGGCCTATGCCAATAGGGCCCTGGGTGCCGAGCGAGGAAAATGAAAGGGAGGAGGCACGTGCTCGCTGCGTGGGTTGGCCATGCACTTTGGCAGTGATTTAAAATGGGAACATTGTATTCAAAGAAATAATTATATAAAGGCAGCGGATTAAATTCTCGTGTTTGCGCAATAATTCCCAGGGGCTGGTCCAAATCACTTTAAAGCAAGGTATACAAAAAATGTTTCTCCCACCACATTCATGACTTTGTTTTAAGCCGCACATTTCTGTACCAATCAAAATAATATGATGCATTAAGAGGTCTATTTTTTAAAATATAAATCAGGATGTGGTTACATTTAATATATTCTTGTCAAAACAAGCAAGCAGTCATTGGATGGCCACTGCAAGCCTGACATCCTCCAAGGGATCGGCCTGGCTGCATCCATTATGCAGTCTTTCCACAATATCTGGCCTCAACATCGCTTCATTACGTCTACCGAGATGTAAATAAACGAGGCTTGTGTGATGCCAGTCTTACTGATTGGTGCTGAGATGTGGACTTCTCCTGCAGTCAGCCTTAAACAGGCTGCAGGCCTTCCTGCCACATGCGGTGCGAGTGACAGCTCCTTGGCACCAGATGGTTTGACTTTTGGCGCAATACTGACGTCTAGTCAAGGAGGACTGTTCTTCCTGCTATGGACAACATCATCTGCTTAAGAAACATCCATCTGTGTGGCAACATTGCAAGAATGGAGGGAAATACTCCCACACACCGTGCCCTACTTTTATCCATCCAGGCAAAGAGAGGACCTCCACCGTCTCCATCACAGCATCATCGAGACGCCTGTCCAAAGGACTCATGAGTTTGTCAGATCTGTCATGACACTGACCTAACCTTGCAGAAAGCATTCTACAATACAGTGGAACGTGGACACTCTGGTTGGTGCAACAAACCTTCATTGCGTGGGTATTTTTGACAATGATTTCAAAACATTTCGATTGCCGTGTCGGTCATGTGAATTGTTTGACCGCATAGCGTCATTCATGCATATTGCAACTTAAACAAGCTGAACAATGTGAACCACTTCAACATCTAAAATAGTACAGGAACACCACAAAGATACAACACAAACACGATACAGGGTACGGAAGTGAACACGACACGAACCAGATGGGGCGACAGTAAACATTGAACCTCTTAACATCAGCAACCATATTTTACCAAGTTGGTCTGTGCGAGCTCGTGAAGAGATGAAGCCCAGGACTAGTTCAGACATCACTTGCCACTGATGTTAGCCATGGCCAGGAATTAACTCTGGCCTCCGGGTTCATAGGAGAGTATACTTCCCAAGATGACACTGTTCCCTAGCCACCAATAGGTAGGTTTTAGATCAGTGAACACATTCACATAATGCTAATTAAATATTTATCTACTGACACACAGTAAAAATTGTGACATGAGAATGAGGTTTTATTTTTGAACACATTTTGAATGACATGATTTCCTCGTTCAGTACAGCTTTAGCAATAAATAATTTCACAAGTCGAGCCTGAATGACTTTACCTGTTAATTAATTGCCTTGAATCCTGATATAGTTTTAAGAACTCAACACGTTCGATTCAACTCCGTGCAGTTTTTCGAGGCAAGATCAGATCTAAACTCTGCTGCCCGTAACAACGAACTCACTGCATTAAAGTTTCAGAGTGCAGACGGCGAGCATGAAACAGAACCGCCCAATTACATTACTTGCAGTTCCTGGGCAACTCGCTCGCTATTGTTTGCCAGAAACACAACACGCCGCGCTCTTATCGCCACGGATAGATTACGCTCATTACATCCTCATTACACCAGCAGCGTCAGCACCAATTGCCAGGATGCAACCCAAACCGCATGGAGTTACACGGCACGCTCGGTGCGTGGGGCACACATCGAGACGTGCGACGTCCACCTCCCACGTGCTTCGCCGGCCGCTGTGCACGCACGTGTCACGTGTGCGCGCCCACGGCTCTGGAACCTTTCGATGTGAATTACGGTAAACGGACGCTCAAGACTACTTGGGGCGGGAATAAACGGTGTTAAGCCATTCGTTATAACAAAAATGTTCGTCACATTTAATGTTTGATCAGTGCAGCTTTCGTGACTGCAGGGATTCATATTCTTGGTTCTTTAGGTAAAGTCACGTAGAAGGGAAATAATAAAATAATAAAAAATAAAATGCTCACGACGTTTCGATTGCAACACAAGCAATCATCATCAGGTGTGAAAAACTACAGCAAGAAAATTTGAAACAAAAATTATTGCTGTGGGTTTTCACACCTGATGATGATTGCTTGTGTTGCAATCGAAACGTCGTGAGAGTTTTATTGTTTTATTATTTCCATTCTACGTGACTTTACCGAAAGAACCAAGAATATATAGGTATTACGGGTTTATTACCGCTACCTAATAGGGGGTCACTCGAGCTTAAGTGCACTAACGCTTGTCCCCCTTAACGTATACAGTAATCGCGTGCAAATGTACCTCAATGACCCCTCAATACGTAAACGGGTAAACATAGATCCCCGAAGATCAATAGTCGACCTCAATGAGCTGTCAAGCTGCTTATGCTTGATGTTTATATTGAAACACACGTCTATTAATGACGTCACTCTATTTATGACGACATAACAACCCTTCATCATCTCCCTCGGGTAAGGGGCCGTACATAAATGACGTCACGCACCTAAGGGGGGGGGAGGGGGGTCAGACATTTGTGACGATGTGTGACGAGGGGGGGTTTCAGAAATGTGACGTCACATCAAAATGCGCAACTTTAAATAAAAACAACATTAAATAGAATTGTTATAACACTAATTTCGATTAATTTTCATTGATTTAAAGCTTTCGTGACTTCGGGGATTCATATTCTTGGTTCTTTCGGTAAAGTCACGTAGAAGGGAAACATTAAACTAATAAAAATATAAAACAATAAAATTATCACGACGTTTCGACTGCAACACAAGCAATCATCATAAGGTCACCTTTTATTTGTTCCATGAAGGAGCATTTTGCGTCTCCATGGGAGGATGGAGAAGCATACATTTTGTAAATTCTTTGAATTATTGTTATTAAACATTCAGATTTTCATAATTCTTTTCATTCTGTGGATTGAATATGTGATTGTTATAATTGTAGTCTTCATTTTGCTTAGTTCTACTACAAAGTGTCAAGTATTTTTAAGTTATAATTACTTTTAATATTTTATAATTATAAGAGAATCTAAATGTAATATTCTGAACATCTGCAGTTTTAGTTAGACGTTGAATATTTTCAAGTGAATTTTATGCTAAATTTCAGCTTTCCAACGCCACCTTTTTTAATGTTTTCTCCTACAACATCAGAGTGCAGCGCCACATTAAATACGCGCTACAATGACAATAGTTTAAAGCGATTTGAAGCGTGTTTTATATTTTTTGGGGGGGGGGGGGGGGGGGGCAGAGCTTTGTGACGTCATATTTGAGGGGGGGTGTCTGACTTTTTGTGACGTTGTGTGACAAAGGGGGGGGGGGGTCAAAAATCGCGTGACGTCATTTATGGACGGGTCCCTTATTCGTAAAACAAGTGACAAAGTCAAGGAAATTCAAATCAAAAGTAACGCGCTGTACGCACACCGGCAAGCGACGTTAAGACCATCGAGTAACGTTAACTAGTGGGAAACAAAAGCAATGTTGTCACGTCTAATGGTTTAATCTACGACGCAGCGGTGGGGTGGGCCGTTGAAGTGTCAGCGGGCGTCAAATGTAAACATTCGGGCACAAGCGGCTCCTCCACTACACGAGGACAACATTGAGGCCGTCAACTATTCAGAGTTTGTCGCATCGGCGAGGTTACTCACGACCGTACCTTGATCGAGCGCAGTGTCACTGACAGCCGAGGTGAAGGGACTGCGAAGTCGCCGCTCACGCGGGGAGCTCACGCGCGGGCTTCATTACAATGCGGACGAGGTCGCGGTTGCCAACGGACGCCATCAAGTTCGGCCGGAGGAATCGATCCGTAATTCCATTGATTACACCGACGCTCGATCCCCGCCGCTCAAATCAATACAGTTCGGTATCGATAACCGGGTAATATTCGATTCCTTTTGGGATCGATTCCGCAGTTGTCGGTTGATTCACGGTCGGGACGCAGAGCTGGCTGGTTGGGTTAAGCCGCCCACAAAGAGGCGGGGTTTTGAGGCTGGTCCGACCAATCACAACGAGTGATCTGCGAGTGACGTCACAAGGTAGGCGAAAATCTCCACGGGGATATGGAGCCGCCATCTTAGTCAGGGATATTGAAAACGCATATTATTTATTGGTTTCTGTGATGATTAAAACATGTAAACTCACACTTGCGTTTTTATCTCGTCGATATAAAAACAACAATGTTATCTACACATTTTTTTATCATTGTTGTTCCGTAATTAAACGTTCACTTCTGGGCGTGTTAACAGCTGTAAGATGGCGTAATGTTTCTTGCGGAAATGACGTCATCAACGTCACGGCCACGCAGCGCGCACTTCAACCTCTACGTTGTATTCATCCGCGCCACAAAGCTCGTTAAATCTAAGCAAAAAAAACATTAACGTGAACAAAGCATTATTGAAAACACCTTTTGTTCAGTCTCCAATTAAAAAAAAACCCAAAATAAAAAAATATATAAACAAATTCTTGCGCGCCGGAACTACAAGGACTCTTTGCGGAGCGCGCACGCGTACATCTTCGCACCGCCGCGGCCACCGTCCTCAGTCGCCCTTGGTCATCAGTCGTGCCGAGTAGCATACTCCAACTCTTCCTCCTGCAGCAATGGTGAGCAGGGCTGCGAACCACTCGTCGTCACAGTCACAGAGTTGTTGATCGAATGTCGTAGACAAAACACTCCGTCGACTGACCTGCCTCGTTACAGCGGCTGGCTAATTGGTGCTCGGTGCGCGTTGTTATTGAATGACAATTGCGCTGATGAGCTGTGGCGAGCTCTCGCCACGGCTCAATGCGGACGCAGCGCCGCTGTGCATTGCTCCGTGCGATTGTTTCGCGTTCACCGTTGAGTTGCAGTTGTTGAATTGTGCTTGTTGAGCTGCAACTGTTAAAATATATTCGACCTTGTCTCGCTAAGCGGTTACGGGTGTCTGGCTGAGGGGGGCGCGTCGCGTCGCTTTCGACCAATGGAAGGGCCCGATAGTAAGGAGGTGCGGCCGGGCGGGCCAATGGGAGCAGCCCTTGGATCGGCGCCAGTGTTCGCAATCGGGCCGTGTGCGCCAGGTCGCTTCCACTGCTGGGTGAGAGGGCCTCAGCCGTGGGGGTTAGTTGACCATACTTCACCACGCTGGTCACTGCGGGTTGGCGAAGACGAGGAGCAGAGACTTTGCTTCATAGGATAGTGTTAACGGTGAATTTTGTCGCATTGCCGATGTTTTTAAGCAATGCCTCTCGCGTTTCTCCCATGCGGATTGTGTTATTTGACGTTACGTTTGAGTGTAACGTTAGTGTAAATGCATTTAGCGCATCTGAAAAAAATGTACACTAGTAATTGATGTCTGTAGTGCCCAAAACTGTTATTTATATTATAAAATTACTTTATGCTAAGAGCAATATAATTATTTTTAAAATATGCATTTTCAGTTCTAAAGGTTATGCTGAAAAACTTGATAACTGATTTTCCTCACTTTTTTGTGTTGTCTATCCTGACTTGATTGAATCATTTGACAGTCCACTCTTTGACAGTTGTGACTGCGGCTTAATCCTCCAACTCAATGCGATCACTACGCTCTGTACAACGAGCTTTTGTTTTGGGATATCGAGTTCTACCACCACAATCGCTCGCACATGATTTGACTATCTGTAGTCAGAACACCATCGTTATCGCTCGAGGCGTATTACATAATAAACTGTTAAGTCGTAAGTCGACCGTCCTACCCTCTGCGTTGTCATATATATAAGGGCATGTGGACGGGTGCCAACATCAGCAGCAATGCAATGCCGCCCTGAAACATGCTGAAGACGTGCATAAATAATTTCCCAATGGTACAGTCGAAGCCGAATATCATGATACAGCAACATCACACGGGGGGGGGGGGGGGGGGGGGGGGATAAGTGCAATCACACTTCCCCGTGCATATGTCCAGCATCTAGCTTATTCTTAAAACGGAGTTGCAACGAGGTTTATGATGGAAGAGTTGTAAAACATGAAAACCTTACGTGAGTGAAGTGAACACGATCACCTAGGCGGGGGCCCATTGGGACTTGGCGACTCTTTGTTTAAGGCAGACCTGGGGTTTATATTCTCCAAAACGACGCGAATGAATATTGAGCTATTGTATGAATTCGCGTCGAATTTGGACCCATTACTTCGAGAGGGGTTCTTGCAGTTCGCATCTGGAAGTTCGCCAGCATTGCTTCAAGCAAGTCTGACTGCTGGTGGAGTTGTACAAAGCCGGTCCATTGTTTTGACGTCCTCTATCAATGCTGCTGAGGATATTGCCCTCCCAGAAGACCGCGGGGGCCAATGGGTTTTGTAAGATAGAGATGAGTGGCGAGCCATATATGTAGGAGACATTGCTTTTCTGCATTTGTTATTTATATTCTCCAGAAAGACACTGATGATTAGCTCCTTGCATTTTATTTACATCTTGTTGCACTTCAGATTTTTGGGAATTGACCTGTATTTTAAGCGGTAAATAGACATGTTTGTTCAGGGGGCATCAAATCTGTGTTGCATAGAACAATCGATCGATTGAAATTCTCTGCTAAAATGTAACAAACAGTGCGCGTCCTTTGCCTGCAGACGAAGGTCACGAAGCATGACTTGGCAATGCGAGTATTTTACGATTACAGATTTTTTAAAGCATTTAATTGGAATAAAGGGTTACGCACAGTGCACAGGCGTGCTCATCTGTGGAAGTGGCTGGTGCTATTATTAGCGTCTCCCCCAGGCCACGGCCTTATGAACTCGTTAGGCTTTAGCAGTCTCCTTGTGAGTGCCGCATTTCACAAGGATATCTCAGAAAGGGTGTTAGCTTCGTGCGAACATTTTTGTGTACCTGCACAATGCTGGATGAGGGCCATCTCACGCTTTACGGATTTGGCCATACTTCACCACACTGGTCAGTGTGGGTTGATGGTTGGATGCATAAGTGTGGGAGCATAGAAGGACAGTACACTCAAGGGGCTGCACCGCCTACCTTTGTGTTTATGAATAAAACACCTTTCATCAGCAAGGCATACATTACACGTGGAATACGTTTATTTCGTGCTCTTGTTGTAAGCGTTACTTTTGGCTTCGGAACCCGAGTACCACCAAGTCGGCCTGAATATGTACCACATTGGCTTTATTGACTTGCTTGTTACCGGTGTTTATTTAGCTCTGGATGTTCTGAGTAAATCGGTTGTGTTGTTAGTCATCATTGAAACCTTTAGAGCGTTAAATGCAACGACTGTGGTTTGAATGTCTGGGCATTGTTAAGATGTGCGTGCGCGTGTCCTTCCAACAGACGGGCACCGTGAAGGTTCTGGTGACGGGCGCTGCCGGGCAGATCGCCTACTCCCTCCTGTACAGCATTGCTAGTGGCAATGTCTTCGGCAAGGATCAGGTGAGGAGGCTCTGCCCTCGTCATGCCAAAGACAAACTCCAATGAGTGTTGATGACTCCGAGTGGAGCCGCAAGCAGGAAATTCAAGTACCCTACTCGACGTCTTCGAGAGACTGAAGTGGTAGCTAATTAGGGGTTGGCAGTGGCAACTTTGCAAGTCTACCTTGGGGGAAAAAAGACACCGTTTGGAGGTGCTCTCTCTTGGTTAAAAGAAATCAAGGTTTTCATTCCAGTGCAATCATCGAAGGGTTGTGTGAGTTTAAAGTCGAAGAGGTGGGGGTCGACGCACACCGTCGTGTGTGACGACGGAACCGAGCCAGCTGGCGTGCTGTCGGGGTCACCTTGGCCTCCAGTGAAGACCAGATGCTGTTGCTGGCTGATCAAGTTACATTTTTTTCTAATTTAACTGGATGGGGTGTGCTGTCTACATATAAATAACTCAGTTTTGTGGTAGCACCGGCTTATTTAAATATTTGCATTTCTAAGCCTTTGGGTCTATTTAATTAATTTAAACATTTGTAATGCCATTATTTATATAATGCTGCTATCAGAGGCAAGTGCAGCAATATCCGTTGTTGTGCTGCACTATGCTCCAAAGTCTGTTCCCTGCCTTCACAAACCTGCACTGATCAGCGTGGTGAAGTATGGTCAAATGACCCACATGGCATGTGGTGGCTGCCCATGTCCATCAGTTGATTGACAAAAGGACATGGCACAATTAAAAAAAACACGTCAATCGTCTTATAGTTCTGTACCTCGAGTCGTTTAAACAATACTATCTATTAATGGCAAGTCAAAGGCAGTCATCCATCCCGTGTTGAGCCTGGCCCCCACCGTGGGGACGTGGAATTTCCACCACCGGGCTCAGGTTTGCCATTGATAATAATTGCAACTGCATTGCTTGTTTGAACAGTGAGACCCTTTTAGTTAACTTGAAAAATAACACTTAGCATCGTTTAAGTCTCAATTAGTAGATTTGCACCACTTGAATGCATATCTGGACTTTGCAAAATTCAAGCAGACGCTGTAGATTTTCAAACGTATTTTTGGCTCTGGGAAGCGGGCCAAACCAGTGGTTGGGAATGACCTTGCAGCAGGCGCTCGCCGTGGCGGGTACAGGACGAATGGGAGCCAAGTCACCTCTTGTAAAGCGATATGTATGTCACAGCGGTAAAAACGCGCATCGCTCCGGTGTCTGTGTGTGTATCCGCGTGGACCCCACGCAGCCCATTTCCCTGGTGCTGCTGGACATCACGCCCATGCTCGGCGTGCTCGAGGGAGTGGTGATGGAGCTGCAGGACTGTGCGCTGCCCCTTCTCAAGGGTATGCACGTGGAGGGCACACGCCCCGCCTGAGCCATTGACATGCGTACAGCTCGCGTAGTCCGCATGTGCAGCGCATGTGGGCAGCCGCAGCCCGAACTCATCATTTGAAGTTTTAAATCTTGAAGGCCTCTGCCAAAATTATGATTATTTTCGTCTGCAATTTTTTTATATTAATAAGTTCTGTGAAAGGGAAAATGGAACCTAACGGATGTACAGTGCTCTAATGTTGTGGATATGAGGCATTGAGCATGTACAGTTTTTCCCTTTGTGGATGCAGAGGTTACATGAACCAATCACATCCTAAATGTATGATGCGAAAAT